TCGAATTTTTGCATTTTGAAGTTTATTTACCTTTTACTTTGATCGAAAATAAGTTTTTTTCTGTGAATCTTTTCCCTTTTAGTTTTTATTTGCTTTCATTAACGTTATACCACTGACAAGTTTTTAAAAGTTTGATTTTTACCAAGAATTTTAAAATTTTTCTTTTATGGTCTTCACAGCTTTCAAGCCAATTAGTGGTTAATAAAATATGCTTAGTCACATAGGTTTCAATTTTTTTAAAAACTGCATTATCTACTTTAAATAAATTAAAAGCCTCGTGAAATTTTTCTAACAATATTATAGTAATAGTAACAAACAAATCTCATGGTCTCTGAAGAAACTTTATTTCTTCGTTTGCGGCATAATCTCTGAAATGTAACATTAATTCGTGTTTCTGTAATAGAATTTTATTGTCTTTTAACAAATCTTCCTGGCATTTAATACAATTCAAATTCTTTATAATCTTATAGTAAATATAACCAGCGACATGTAACAGCACACGTTTCTAAATTTATGCTAGATTTGATGGAATTTGCCGCGCTTAAAATTTGGTTGTCATTTTCTTGTCTAAAGATTTTTCTACATGAACTGTTTGGGTTTCAAATGGACTCGTCAGATATTTCGACGCTAGTTACTTCGTGGGTTAAATCTAAATTAACAGTTGTGCTATTTCACAATTTCCATTGTCTAAAGCAATTTTTAGTTTAATATTTGTGTTATGCTTAATGGCAATTTTTAACTGGCTAACACTAGGTGTTGGATTGTAATCACCCCTATTGCGCACAATAGAGAAAAATTTTTCTAGAGGATCTTGGTTCAAAATCCACAAGGAAAATAATTCCTGTAGCTAGCTGTATACCACGTATCACAAAAAAGAGGTTAGATCTTTGTAAATGGGTATATTTAAAAAACCCTTAAAAGGGCTACATCAAATAACACGAACCTTTTCGGAATAATAATTCCATCATCGGGTTTAAAAATGCAAGGTTCACATGCCTGAGCCACCAAAATACCAGGGTAAAAACCCTTTAAAATATATGACGTTACAAAAGATTGTACATAATGTTGTTATAAATATGTGATGTTTAATATTAAATTAAATTTGACTTCAGGTAACATACACCCATGGTTTGAGTGAGTTCCAGTGTCCGGAGAGTAAACCTCTTTAAACGGACTACAGCTGGTAACTTGTGTTCAGAAAAGATGTTAAAGGATATGACACATTTTATTTTTGAAGTTCCTCTCACGAACATAAAACTGACAAAATTGTCCACTGAAAGCCGTGTAGACAGTGAATATTATTTCTCTCTTGCTGATTTTCAAAAAATTTAATTTTTTAAAAATATTCTAAACCTGCTTTTAAGTTTTCAGTTGACTTGCTTAAAGTTGACATTGGCATCCTGTTTTGATTACTATCACTACAATATTTGCTGTTAAGACCATCAAAAATATTATTTATAATTTTCAAAAATTCGGCAGTATGAGGAGCCATTTTAGTGTGTAACTGCCCTACAGCTATTGCTGAGGCAACTGGGTTGGAAAAAATTTGTGCTGCTAATTTTACAAGCATTTTTTGAAAATTATTAGGGTTTATATGAACGTCTATTATTTTCACCATACACTGTCCTCTTACATTAGTTCTATCGATGTTGTATGTGTATGCAATATCTTGCCACAATATTTGTTTAGAATCGGCAAAAAACGTCAACTTTTTGTTAAGAAAATTGTTTCTTAAACTTTTTAATAAGTGGGGTGTATCGAACATAGTAAAAATCCTCTGATTTCCTATTTCTATTGCAGGCTGATCCTTACCGCATTGGTTTGTACCGTATTGGTTTTGTACCGCAATAAACGTATGTAGAACATACTGGTGGGGTATCACCTAAAATAGGTAATCATTGAAATATATGTGTAATTTTAATTAAAGCAAAACAAGCATCTCCATTATTTCTGTAGTGATACTAACAACGCATTCATAATTAAAAAAAATCTCTTTTGATTTAATTGTATAAAAATATATATAAATCAAATCATGAATGTGTTGCTTGTGTGAGTCCATTTCAAATAGGTAAAGAAATAATAAATAAGACTTACTCACAATCAATTTAATTTAACTATCAGACGACCGGTTTCGCTTTCTACAATATGCAAAGCATCCTCAGGTCTCGATACAAAATGCTGAAATAATAAAAAAAATAAAAAAACAATCACACACATATCTCTTCTTCATTGGATCAAATCTATCTCCTCAAGAACTTCCCGTTTACTGTCAAACAACTGCAATAATAGAATTGAGTTCTCCATTCAACAATACATAGTAGTTTCAACCATGTTCTACCATCCATCAATTAATAGAGTACCGGCATGTAAGTAATGTTTATTTAATTATTTGCTCATTTATTAATTTGTTACAATCTAGTAGACTATTTTATAACAATTTGTGGGCCTTACCTTGTCTGTTTAAACTTTTAAAACTTTTATACTTTTTATTCAACTTACTCTTTTAAATAAAACCACAGACATGTAATATTGGCATAATTATTGTAATTTACAACATCTACTTTGTTTATCGTTATTAGACAACACCCTAATATGGGTTTTTATTATTTCAGCATTTGTTTAACTTTGTATATCTTTGTAGACCTGAGGATGCTTTGCATATTGTAGAAAGCGAAACCGGTCGTCTGATAGTTAAATTAAATTGATTGTAAGTCTTATTTATTATTTCTTTACCTATATATAAATCACTCAATATCAACTGATTTTATATAACATATATTTTAATAGCATTACTCTCATTGACAAAGCGCATTACGCAAACATAAAAATATTTCTAAAGTTGAGTACTCACCTAAATCAGTTGGTAACTGTAGTATATTTTAGAGGAAGAGCATTTTTCCTTAATAACTTTCTTTGGCTACTTTGATAAATATATTCCACTGCAAAATGATGCTGGCAAATTATTCACTGTTTTAGGTCACTGATATCCATCAATATAATATCAATATTCCCGCAGTTTTTTTGCCAAATTTTTGTGCGTTCTACGTCTTTCAGGGGAAATTTAAAGAAAGATATATTATTATTTGTTCCATCGTTTCTTTCAAAACTTTCCGCGTAAACACATTTATGCGTTACAGAGGCCATTTTATCTAAAATGTGAGTCCTTTTTTTTATAAAATTTCGCTATAACTTGTCACAACACTTGACACAGCTAATACACTTATAGGGTAAGTTCGGCCCTGACACTACTCCTATCTCCTCACAAGTCAGTGAGAGAATGAGAATCTCGATACGGTTTTCGAGTAACGCCATCTAGTTTTTGATACGTCTTTCGGTTACCACGAGGTGAGCTATCTAGGTAGTGGTTTATAATCAATGCTAATATGTATACAAAATAATGACAATTTCAATGTTTTCCCGAAGTGGATACTTTTGAAATACACCACCAGGCGTCGCCCACTTTGCGATCCCTTGCCAATAGCACAGAATAATGAACAATGAGAATGCTCACTCTCCATGGAAAATTAAGTACGCGCATCTCCTTCGTGCAGACGTTACGCCATGTTTTAGAGGGAAGCAGTGTTGTTTATGTGGTGTGTATAGACGAAATTAACCCAGTTTAATTGACTTACGGCAATCATAGATATACTATACAATTATATTAACATTGTTAAAAATAATAACATAAATATAACAGAATTAAACATAAATATAAACAATTACATAACCTCACAAATCATATGTCTGTGTTATGTGTTTCCTTCTAAAACATGGCGCGTGTGCTGAAAAACTTCAAAGGCGGCATCTGAGAGCGCACCATCGAGCAAAAAGACAATAGAGGGAATGTAAAGGTAGTGGGGGCAAACATATTGTTAGACAGGAAGTGCGATTTTTAGAGGCCACATTAAACAAGGAAAGAGAGTCTCTCTCCTTGTTTGACATCAAATTTAGTTGGGTTATATTATTGTTTGTCCCAAATGTCACATGAAATCTTATTTATATTGAAGTTTTTTAACAATTGTGTCGCATTTTAGACTCTTATCATTAATAATTAATTAAAACTTTCTCGTCTAAGACACATTCTGCGAAATATTATATAGCTACTGTTGATAAGTGTCAAAAAATTTAAATTTGGCGCATTCGCATTTCCGGATATGTCCGCCATCAGAGGCCACTTTTTTGGTCTCCTTTTCATAAGGATTAGATTCCCTCTTTTGTCTTATTGCTCGATGGAGCGCACGTTCTGATTGTTTATTATTCTGTGCCAATAGGTTCCTTATGCCACCACAGAATAATAAACAATCAGAATGCCTACTCTCCATGGAAAATTAAGTACGCGCATCTCCTTCGCGCAGACGTTCCGCCATGTTTTAGAGGGAACCAGTGCTGTTTATGTGGTGTACATAGAAAAATTAGCCCGGTTTAATTGACTTACGGCAATCATAGACATACTATACAATTATATTAACGTTGTTAAATATAATAATATAAATAATATAATACAATTAAACATAAATATAAACAATTACATAACCCCACAAATCATATGTCTGTGTTATGTGTTTCCTTCTAAAATATGGCGCGCGTGCTTAGAAACTTCAAAGGCGGCACCTGAGAGTGGGCATTCTGATTGTTTATTATTCTGTGCTTTGGTGAGAGGTGAGGTGACATATGATGAAAACAAAAAAAGTGACTTGGTTTGACTTGGCTATTATGGTTATGACACGAGTTAAAATGTCAAAAGTTGGTAAAAATTTATGAAGGAATTTTAATCTTAAGAGAAAGCTTTTGCTTTAGTTTATTTACAAACTAAAAGTGTGTGTTATATGTATGATATGCATAAAGTGTAAATTTTACCTAAAAGTACAAAGATTTGTATAAAGTAAGTAAACGTAGGTTATTTGTTTATTTAGCAATATGTCAAACAATTCAAAATTTTTGTAAAATTCCCACAATGTTGTTTCTCCCGTAATAATAATTCTATTTCTTTTCTGTTGATAGTAACTTTAGTGAAATTCCTTACGCAAAAAGAAGATACATCTTACTGAATTTTCTTGTAACATTGATACATTTCAAATACTGTAATTCTGTACGTCTGAGCTAGACTCATGTAACTCAATTTTGCCATTATTTGCTATTCTACTGCAGTGATTTTTTTTACTCTGTGTAAATAACAAAAACTCATTTTTAAGAATATAGAATTGGATGTTTGTCTTACCAACCATAACCACTTCACCATAATGATAAATGTTTGGATCATATAATGAATATGGTCAAAATGGAAAAAAAGCATAATATTAGAAGCATGTTAGTCAAAGATTGGGTAAGAATCTTATAAGTGAGGGATGAGTTATGATTTATTTGGGCATATTATTTTATGAATTACACACACCATATATATATTTTAATAATATAATGTATTTGTATATAATTAACAATTTCATAAATTGTGTACAGATTTTATATACCTATATATTAAATGAGAAAACACAAATATTTACGATTATCAACAAAAAACTCTTGATTTTTATAAAAACCTCTGATTTTTGTATTCATAGTTTTTCATAATAAAATTTCGGAGACCAAGTTAGAACAAAGTGGCATTATTATTAATCTAATATCTGCTAATAGCATACTTTGTAGAAAGTCATTCAGTCACATCGTTCTGCTCAACTGACAAAGACTCTCCAGCAATTTTTCCGGCGACAATATTGTGTCTACTCTTGAAACAGTTAATCCAACTTGCCAAACGATCAAAATTAAAAATGTTTAGCTCTTTAGCAAAAAAATTTGTCTTATGTTGAAGCATAGGCCCATTTACAGGTATTCCTCGATTACATTGCTGCTTAACCCATTCTAAAAGTGCACAGTCAAATTGATTTTGAGACGACTCTCTCACACGTTTCGGTTTTAAAACATTCGCATTGAATAAAGGTTCTATCTTGTGTTTGTCTTAATTTTTCTTAATTGTCGATATTGTGGAATGCTTCACACTGAATTCCTTTGCAATAGTTACATTTGATTCGCCAGCTTCTAAACTTTGTATTATAACACTTCAATGGAGTGTTATAATACATATATATATATATATATATATTATAATATATATATATATACTATTATAATATATATATATATATATATATATATATATATATATATATATATAATATGTATATAAGAAAGTCCCTTATTAAGAAACATTCTAATAGAAAATTCATATCCTTCATCTATCATAAATAAATACCTTAACTCACAAAGCTATGGATCCTCATTTGATGACATACCCAATGGTGACCAACTTAGAACAATTTCAAATAATTCAATTAATAGCATTGTTCTGCATGATACTGATCTTGAGAATCCTTCCACCCAATATTCTTCTTTACCTTATTTTCCTCAAGTTACTGAGAAGCTTATTAAACTGTATAAACAAAATAACATACCGGTTAAAATTGCTGTCAAGAATGCGAAAACTGTTAGAAATTTGTTTTCAAAAACTAAAACACCCTTGTCCACTTTGGAACAAGTTAACACGATTTATCAAATTCCATGCGCTAATTGCGATTTATGTTACATTGGTCAGACTAGTAGATCATTAAAAGGTCGTCTCACTACACATCGTAGTGACATTAATTTATCAAAACACACTTGTGCTCTGGCACAACACGCGATAAATACTAAACATAAAGTGGATTTCAATGAAGTTAAGATTCTTGGCACTGAACGCAATCTAGTTAAAAGACAGTTTTTGGAAATGTGTTCAATTCTTAAACATCCTAATGCTTTACATAAGAGAACTGACATAAGTAACTTGAGCCAAATATATCATGCTTTAATTTTGCAGAATTCAGCTTTATGATCTTTTCATTATATAAATGTCATGTAAGGTGCACTATTTGAACTCATTTTTTTATTAAATAATTAAAATATACATAAAATAGAAATAAATTAATAATAAAATAATCAAATATTCTTTACTTAACTCACTGTAGCATATGCAACTTACATTGCATATTCTTACACTAATTCCCATAATTAGATTAGTGTGAACAATTTTCTACTTGAATAATATAATACAAATATTGTAATGGATTCATAGAATCCTTTACAAATTACAGTTCCAAGCGTCTGAACCTTGGACTGTGGAAATTATCTTATCGTTGATCACCTGTGGCGGATTATCCAGCCATAATGTTTAACGTTATTATTTATATATGAGGTTGAATGAAATTCTCCTGTTTGTTAGTTCTAGAGTGATTAATGCGAGGAGTTGCTATTACAATACCAATTTCTTTCATTGGTTTGTCTCTTACAAGCGGGTTGTCATCCAAACTCATTTAAACTTTTAAATAGACCGCCCAATTATTTGGGGTGGTACCTCTACCTTGTTGCTCTGTCAAAAAATTTTTGACCTCAAGGTTGGCTGTCTTTTCACGGTTTAGTTCGGTCTGTTTCATTTAACGCCATTTTTCCGGCGCTAGCTGTAAGGCTTTGATCGGTAACTTCATTTACACTACTTTTTAAATAAAATTTTTTATTAACCTCACTTATAATGCTACCTAAAGTTAAAATCAAAGCTTAATAATTATTAAATAGTTGGAAGTAAATCTATGATTTTCTTGGTTCCTTTTCACTACTTAAGATTAAATATAATATTTCATTTACTTTAGACCACATGGTCAGTTGCTGTGCTAATTTTTTATAAGTTGCTATATGTTGTTAGTTACTTGATTGTTTATACAATATCACCGTATAATGTCCATTTACTTGAGTTTTATTCACATAATTGTAAATATCTTTGACTGCTACATGTCTTTTTAAGGTAACATTTATAACATCGTTTCCATGATTGTGTGGTTCTCATATTGTACTTTTTAGATGAACTGATGATGCTTTCAGAATACGAAAGCGAAACGTCTTCAAAATAGATAAAGTAGCCTATCAACTTTGTCTTTTATTTCTCCACCTTGAGACCGATATAAGAACCCACCACTCGTCTGAGTGATCCTTATATATATATATATATATATATATATATATATATATATATATATATATATATATATATATATATATATATATAAACAATAAATAAAATTTAAAGGTTTAACAACTTATTATTATTTATAATATGTATTATAAATATATTTTTTTAATTTGTACAGATATAGGAACTAATACTTAATATGTCGTAATTCCACCTCTTGCATCAATTATAGACTGAATGCGATGTCCCATGCTTCTTATAAGTGTATTAATGTAGTTCTGGTTCTACCCCATTCTTCAATCGCTGTTCTTCTAAGGTCTTGCAGTGTCCTTGGGGGTGGCTGCCGGGACTTAATTTTTCTTTTGAGCATATCCCAACCGTGCACAATGGGATTAAGGTCAGGTGAGCAAGGTGGCCATTATAATCTGACGTTATCTTCTGTCTCTAAAAATCTGCCACATGTCTCGTACAATGGGGAGGCGCATTGTCGTCCATAAAAATAATTTCTGGACCAACAGCTACTCGCCACAAGCGTACAACAGGCCTAAGAATGGTATCAATATAAGTTTGTCCATTCATTTTACCAACAATGGGAATTAAAGGAGTTTTGTTATTAAGCACGATGCCGCCCCAAAACATTATGAAGATATGGGACTCTTTGGACAGCGTGGTTAAGTCTATCCTGTCGATTTGGGTTCCTCCAAATCCTAATTCGACGATTATTCGACAAAAGGCTAATTTTGGTTTCATCAGAAAATAACACGTTTCCCCATCTGTTGTCATGCCCTTGTAAATGTTCATTGGCCCATTCCAGTTGAGTCCTTTTCTGCTCTAATGTAAGCTTTTGTACAAACAATGGTCTTCTTGTAAATAAATTCGCCGAATGTAACCTGTTTCTAATAGTCTGATCGCAAATTACAATATTATGAGCTTGCTGGAGCTCTCTTCTAATAGCTGGGGTAGTCACAGAGGGGTTTCTCCGGACAGTTAACGTTAAAAAGCGTTCTTGGACATTGGTAGTAATTCTGGGTCTTCCACTTTTTGGATGATCGCTAACAGAATTCATCTCTCGATATTTTTTCACAATCCGAGACACATCACTCGAGATAAAGTGACTGGCAAAACATCAAAAATGAAATAAAGACTTATTTGTACATATACACACCATAATACACCTGCATGCAAAACATGTTGCATACCATCAAGACAGGTTTAATACATTACTTTCTATTAATAAAATATGAAGAACACTTAATTAATTTTTAATCATACTATTTTTGTTTTTTTTTTCTTTCTATTCTCTATGGATCAGTTAAAACACACCATTAAAAGATGTCACAAACGAATTTTTACTATCTTTAACTAAATTTTAAAATGTATTTTGTCCATTATTTTATATGTTATATTTTATATGTTATTATTTTATATGTGTGTTATTAATGTCGAGTGTCACAGCTTTATATAAAACGATAGTAAGTTGCATGACATTTGTGATATGTTGTAAATATTTACACATTCCTATAATTACAGTGTCTTGAAAAAGGAATTAAACAATTCCGAAAGCTGTAAAAGTCAAAAGAGTGTTTCTGTAACATCCCGGCCAAACTTCTGACTGCAGTCCTAATAAACTTTGTTGTTTTGTATATATATATATATATATATATATATATATATATATATATATATATACAAAACATCATCATCACCCAGCCCTTTGCGTCCACTGCTGGACATAGGCCTCCCTCATTTTTGTCCAATGTGCTCTGTCTTGAGCACTTTTCATCCAATTTCTTGACATGTTGTTGAGATCGTCAGTCCATCGTGTAGGGAGTCTTCCTCTATTTCTTTTGTCTAACCTCGGCCTCCACTCAAGCAATCTCTTCGTCCACCTTTCATCACTGATTCGGGCGACGTGTCCGGCCCAGTTCCATTTTAGTGTGGCAATTCGGGAAATTACATCGGTAACTCCTGTTCTTCGTCTTAAGTCTTCATTTTTAACTCGGTCACTAAGCGATATACTCAGCATTGATCTTTCCATTTTCCTCTGAGCTATTTGCAGCGTTTTAGAACTTGTAGCTGTCAATGTCAAAGTTTCGGCACCATAGGTTATCACAGGCAGCACACATTGGTCAAATGTTTTACGTTTTAAAGAAATTAGTATATCGCTTTTAAAGATGTCTTTGAGTTTTCCATAGGCTGCCCATGCTAGGTTTATTCTTCTTCGTAGTTCGCATGTTTGGTTGTCTCTTGTGATCTTTATTTCGTGTCCAAGATATATGTATTTTCCACCAGCTCTACTTCGTTATATATATATATATATATATATATATATATATATATATATATATATATATATATATATATATATATATATATATATATACAGGGTGAGTGTGGAGGAACGCACCAAACTTTAAGACTGTATAATATACGTAAAAATAAGTAAAAATAACTCATATGTTGTTATTCGATTTTCATTTGTTTTCGAGTTATAGCGATAATAACACAAAGTTGTAACTTAACATTAATTTAATGTTAAATGTTCTTATAATAAATTTTCAAAAATACCACTATTGACCTGTAAGCATTTTCTGCTTCGTCTATGAACATTCAACGTTGCTCTTCTGATTGCGTCATGGTTTGCTCTAATTGTGGCTGCAACCTTTTTAAATCGTCGAATTAGTGCATCGCGAGTGTCGACTTTTACCTTGTAAACTTTATTTTTAAACCAGCCCCATAAAAAATAGTCTAATGGTGTTAGGTCTGGAGACCTCGGAGGCCAACTAATAGGACCATTGCGACCAATCCAACGCCTTGGAAATTTTGTATTTAAATGTTGCCTGACCTGACGAGCAAAATGTGCAGGAGCTCCATCGTGCTGATAATACATTTGCATTCTGATATTTAGTGGAATGTTCTGTAGGAGTCCTGGCAATTCATTCTGTAAAAAATTCAAGTACTCCTCTCCTGTAAGGCGGTTCTCAAATATGAAAGGGCCAATTAAATAACCGTCGATCACACCACACCACACGTTTACCGAAAATTTGTGCTGAAAACTAGCTTCAATTGTTGCATGTGGATTTTCATCTGACCATACATGTGAGTTGCGGCTATTATTAATACCGTCTCTGGTGAATGTTGCTTCATCGGTAAAAAGTATGCGGGATATAATACGACGATTATTATTTATCCATCGACAAAATTGCATACGGCTGGCATAATCTTCTGGTTGTAGGTGCTGTACACGTTGTAGGTGGTATGGATATAAACCTTGCTCGTGAAGTGTGTTATTTACTCTCGTTTGAGGAATGGCTAAATGAGTACCGATTCTTCGTGAGCTGATCCCTGGATCATCTTCTACTGAATCCAGAATATTTTGTATTTCTTGTAAACTTTCTCGGGGAGCACGTTCCGATATTATTTTATAACTAGGAAGCGTTTCGGTCTCGCATAGTTTGTTGAAAACTCTAATAAATACATTTTTATCTGGAGTTCTCCGATTTGGAAACCGTTGACGATATTCTTCAACAGCAGCTCTACCGTTTCCATTACAAAAGCCATAAACAAACACCATATTTGCATAATCACTATTTGAATAAGTATGTGGCATTTTGCAACAACTTATTTTATACAAACTGTCAAATAGACATTAAATCACATTGACACTACACTATTATGACAGTTAACTAATTATTAAATGAATCACAGATACCTGTTACAGCAATGTGATAAGTAGCAGTAACATTACAACTTTGTGTTATTATCGCTATAACTCGAAAACAAATGAAAATCGAATAACAACATATGAGTTATTTTTACTTATTTTTACGTATATTATACAGTCTTATATATATATATATATATATATATATATATATATATATATATATATATATATATATATATTTACCCACTATGCTTCTAACTATAATTCTTATTCGCATTTTAACCGCAACATATATATATATATATATATATATATATATATATATATATATATATATATATATATATATATATATATATATATATATATATGGTTAACTTTATGTTTGTTTTAAGGTACAACAATGTCTTACCAGTCAGGGAGAGTAAGAGGTAGGGGTAGAGGTTCTAACTTCCGTAATATTAGAGGAAATGATAGAAAACTGAACACTGGATACCCAACTGATACCAACACTCCTAGTGTTTCGGGCATGAACATATCCAAACATGACAATAACTGCTGCTCAGAAATTACTTTTTCTCTAGAACTTGACGAATTGAGCCAAAATTTCTTTACGGAATTAAAAAATATATGGAATATGTGTAAGTTTAATCTTTAATCTTTATAAAGTTATATTTAGAAATGTGGCACTTTATGGTTTTAACGGACCATAAATACATAGGTAATAGATTTCTTGCAATTGCTAGAAATAGTCTGGAGAGAAGACATTCAATTGCAGATATTGACTATTACTTGTTTGACAAAAAATATGAAAATATTAGAAGAAATTATAAACAATGACTGACAATTACTAGAAAACAATCTGCAATGTTCAAAACAATGTTCAAAACAATCTGCAATATACTATTTTTAAAAAAATATTTAAATTCATTTCCACATTATTTAAAGACTGCTCTTCATTAAATAATATTAGAAAAATGTGAATGATTAATTTTTTGGATCCTTCCGCACAGCAGCATCGATTCTGCACTCCGTGTTTGTGAAAATGTTATTTAATTTTTCTCCGTATAACAGCGTTCCATCCTATTGTACAGGTCTAGAGGATGGATATGTTTTTCAAATCACCCGCTGAAGTCTCCATGAAACAGTCCCCTTGTATGCAGATTTCATTAATTGACTGGCGCATGTCCAGTAAGGAAGCCTGTTAGGCCTATCTGATTTCTGCTTGTTTTCGTAGTATTTTAGCCCTATTAGCACATGTCCACCCAATATAATTTTGCCCTGTGGTTGACCAGACTTCGAATCAGGCTTTTTCCGGTCGCGGATGATGATTTTTGGCACTCCCACGGCCAGCTCTGGAAAGAAGTATTTTGGAGCTGATACTTTTCTGGCAACTTTATCAGTTCTTTCATTGCCGTGGATATCCCGGTTACCTGGAACTTTATCCAGTGTGACATTGTTATAGGTTCCGCCAGTTTGTTGTCAGTATGATCTCGATGGAACTGCAATCAAGGAAACAGTTTTTATTTCTTCTGTCCCATATTTGGTCTTCTAATAGCTTCAATTTGTTTGAGATAAATGGACATGACTACACCACTTAATTTTTGTGGCCTTCTTTGATATTTTGGTCTAATTTTTTTTACCTTGATGTCCAGCACAATCATTTTTGTTATGTATGTAACTGTTATTATTAATAAATATAATTAAGTTATTAAATTAAAAGTTTATTGTTTACTGTGCTAATTTTTTTTTTATTACAGACTTAGCAAAAAATTAATTATTTTTCCTAACGAGTTTTAAATATTAAAAAAATATATTACTTGGTCATTGCTTTTACGTACTACTCCAGATTAAAAAAAGTTCAAATTGGTCCATTATTAAAAGAGATTACAAAAAATATTCAGAAGCAGTCGGTTTCAGGTCTCGAGTCTCGAGATCTTTTTAACATTTCGGCTTATTTCACACACCACTTTTCAGGTATACAATTTCATTTAGGACCGCTCACAAAACCGCTATTTATCACTATAAAATAAATAATGCTCCTATACCTATACATGTGATTGTTAAGTTAAATATTTGATTGAAGTATTCATGCAGTTTTAAGTTAAATGTGAACCAAAAAATAAATGATGATATTTTAAAGGAAAACTAGTCTTGGCTAAAAATGGTCACAGAAAAACTTTTTTTAACACGTGAAAAATCACATGATTAATACCTACAGTTATTTTATGTGAATTTCCTGCATAGGAAATTATTTTTTGTGAATAATTTTTACATATGTTTATAAATTTCAGTAAAGAAGAGCCCTCCAGTTGTAAGCAAACTTCATATACACTTTAATAATACAGATAACCCATATACACAAGTATTAAGGCTACTCTACAATTGTCAGGAATTTCATAATGCCAAAAGTAAATCTCTGCCAATGTTTATCATTGAAGAGTTCAAAATTTGGAGTACAATGAATAGGGATAATATTAAACATCTTTTAGTACCCCAGACTAAAACTGATGCCTTTAAATTATCTTTAAGACAAAATACTTTGGCGTTGAATAAATTGCTTATAGATGCGTTTGAGATGAAACAGGAGCGAGATTTATTTTTGAGTATTATTAGGTGCCTAATTGACAAGAAACAGTATAAAGAGGTAAGAAGTTATTCTTTTTAGTTAAACAATTTTCATTTAGAATTATGATTTAGATCAGGGGTCACCAATTATATTCCCTGAGTGTCCGTTTCGAAAACCTTTTACACTTCCGCAGTCCGGTCCGGACACTCATCACTAAACGAGGCATTGGCATAACGGGAGGGGGGTTTACCCAGTAATCCTCCAGTAGTTGTAACCTCCCCTCAGGAGCAGGAGATCATCCTGGTTACGTAGTTGAAACCAGGTAACTAGGTCCCCTCGTTTAGGGAGGGGTATGAAATAAACTCAAGGAAAAAGATGATTATAAAGCTACTATATTCTTTTTTCTCCCGTCTTTGTTTAATACATTTTGTTGTGTGCGTAATGTGTCTGCTGCTTCGCTGGTCCATACACCATTACGCTTGAGTGAAGAACTGTTGCTCATCAGTTGCACATATTTAATTTTGTGGAAATCAGCAAATCCTTTTTTAAGTTCCAAATTTTTAAGTTCCAAATCAAGTTTATTAATAAAACGTGAGAATATTGTTCTGAAGCTATTTTCTTGTGGCATTGTAAATTAATTACTATTAAACTGGGAATAAGCCACAATTAAAGATAAAAATACGTTTATTGACGTTTCAATTTCCACTTCGGAAATCGTTCTCAAAATACAAACAGTAAATTAAACAAATTTTGTTTTTTGTTACATAGTGAAAAATTCTTCTAATAATTTAATTTTATCTGACTCATTTATATTGACAATTCAGACATACATTATGCATTTTAAAGTAGACGACTTTAAAATGATATTGCCAATATTGTTGAGTTGCGCTCCTGGGACGACTTTACTTATAAGATAGTTCATTCGATTACATGAAATCAACTTTAACTTGAGAATATCCGTCAGAAAAAAAATCATAGCATGTAATTCGTCTTTAAAAAGACAAACACATGACATGATGACAGTAAAATTCTCCTGTTAGTGATTCCATAGTAAATTATGAGGGAAAAACCAGGAAAAAAACCTCATAATACTATCCCGACATTGTAAGTATTTGTTCGTGAATTTAGTTTACCTTATCTAACATCAAAATTCTGATTTTATATGTTACGTTATTTAAAAAACATAAATGATGTATCATCTATATGTTACTGACTTACTAATACTGGTATTTTCTTATTAATAACTTCCTCTTTCAATATTGGTAACCAGATCCTACTACATTCTGCCGAGGAATTTGCGACACAATTGGCCTCATTTAGCATAATTAGAGCCGCTTCTTTGATTTTTCTTTTTTTACCATCCGTTTCTTTTAGGACTACATTTGAATTATTCCATTGAACCCTATGTTCATTATCCCATGCGTGTTTACAGATTTGAGATCTATCAAATTCTCTATTTTTAATATTAGATTGATGTTCACTTATTCTAACATTTAATGGCCTTGATGATTCACCTAAATAAAACTGATCACATTCACAAGGTATTTTATAAATGCAATTCTTTGTCCTTTCTTGTTCATTAACATAAATATAATAAATAACAATACCGTACATAAAAGGACTATCAGAAAAACTTAAAAGGATAGGAAATAAATTTAACATTTCAACAACATTCAAAACAACAAACACGTTGAGATCTATTTTGTCCAAAACCAAACCTAACAATGAACAAGAAAGGACAAAGAATTGCATTTATAAAATACCTTGTGAATGTGATCAGTTTTATTTAGGTGAATCATCAAGGCCATTAAATGTTAGAATAAGTGAACATCAATCTTATATTAAAAATAGAGAATTTGATAGATCTCAATACTGTAAACACGCATGGGATAATGAACATAGGGTTCAATGGAATAATTCAAATGTAGTCCTAAAAGAAACGGATAGTAAAAAACTAAAAATCAAAGAAGCGGCTCTAATTATGCTAAATGAGGCCAATTGTGTCGCAAATTCCTCGGCAGAATGTAGTAGGATCTGGTTACCAATATTGAAAGAGGAAGTTATTAATAAGAAAATACCAGTATTAGTAGGTCAGTAACATATAGAGGATACATCATTTATGTTTTTTAAATAACGTAACATATAAAATCAGAATTTTGATGTTTGTTGAAGGTAAACTAAATTCACGAACAAATACTTACAATGTCGGGATAGTATTATGAGGTTTTTTTCCTGGTTTTTCCCTCATAATTTACTATGGAATCACTAACAGGAGAATTTTACTGTCATCATGTCATGTGTTTGTCTTTTTAAAGACGAATTACATGCTATGATTTTTTATTCTGACGGATATTCTCAAGTTAAAGTTGATTTCATCTAATCGAATGAACTATCTTATAAGTAAAGTCGTCCCAAGAGCGCAACTCAACAATATTGGCAATATCATTTTAAAGTCGTCTACTTTAAAATGCATAATGTATGTCTGAATTGTCAATATAAATGAGTCAGATAAAATTAAATTATTAAAAGAATTTTTCACTATGTAACAAAAAACAAAATTTGTTTAATTTACTGTTTGTATTTTGAGAACGATTTCCGAAGTGGAAATTGAAACGTCAATAAACGTATTTTTATGTTTAATTGTGGCTTATTCTAAGTTTAATAGTAATTAAAACGTGAGAACTATGTAACATCAATATTTTTATTACTATCACAGACAGATTTAAAGAGAGGAAAATGCAAAAGTTCTGCCTCAATATCCGCAGAAAACGTTTAATTTTTTAGAAAAACTTCTAACATCCATAAAGTTCACAAACAAGTTTTCCCTTGCATTATAGTTTTAAATTCAAGAAGTTCAGATGTTTCAAGATATCCACTAAAAATGTGATTGTTGCAACATTTTCTGTGTACAAGGGGAAGCCCCAATGAACATTCGCAGCTTCATTCAGCAGAAATAGCTGCAGCAGCATCAATAGTGGACATACATTCTTTTATGTTTAGTATTACGAGTATTTCTATATAGGATTGGTACTGTGCATTTTTAAAAATGTAAAATTATTTATATATTTAGATTTGATTATAATTTTACACTATAATTTTAATATTATATTTTGAATTTAACGGCGGTCCGCAAGAAATAAGCTTACGATCCGGATGTGGACGCGGTCCGCCATTTGGTGACCCCTGATTTAGACTGTAGAAAATTTAGATTTAGAAAAAATACACCGGTTTTTTATATACGAAAAAACAAATAAACTATAGATAAATTCACATTCAGATGGCAGCGTTACAGAGATAGGCCTGTACTTTCTATATGCCAGAAATAACTACATTGTTGTCAGTTTTTAATCGTACCTACAATCGTACGTTATGGGCCGGCTCCTATAAAAGAATTATAATTTCGGAAATATTTATGAATGTGAAACGGAAAAATACTACATTTTTTTAATTATATAATTTTTCTGTTGGTATTTTAAAAATAGAAAGTTATATTTCGGAAATCTGGTCTTTTCGGAATTATATCTTCTGTTCAAAATTGTTTACAATTTGTGGAAATGAAATAATTATTTGTATAATCCGTTTTTGATCTTAATGTCCTTTTAATGACACACTTTCTCTACCTGCATTTACAGTTACAGACATTAAAAAATAATTTAGAATTAAAAAAATATACCTATTTATAAATTCAAAATTATTGTCTAATGCCAGCAATTATAAATTCAGGTAAATACTTGAGAGTCATTAAAAGAATTTTCAGTTGATATCAGACGTTTGTGTCGTGTCAGTGTCAAAATGGCCGCGAGTGTAATAAAATTCAAAAACGGTAATTTGTTAAATAGTGAATGCAAAAAAATAGTGTTAAATGTTTTTAACTATTTATCATACAGTAATAATGATAAAAGTGTATCAACAATAGTGCGGGAAGTTTCTGCTATGACTGGAGTCTCTGAGCGAACGATATTCCGATATAGAAGTGAAATTAAAAATGGTCCACTCGTAACTCCTATAAGAAAAAAAAGAACCGGTTATTTGAATAGTCGTGAGAATAGATATGATGAAGCAACTCGGTCTAGAATAAGACAAGTAGTGCACGGTTTTTTTATGGACAATATTCCTCCAACCCTTGACGTAGTACTAGAAAAAATTAAGCAAATGAAGCATCTTCCGAATTTTTCCAAGAGTACGTTGAGAAGACTATTGCACGACATGGGTTTTATATATGGCAAACAAGGTAGAAATTCAATATTAATAGAAAAACAAGAAATAGTCGCTTGGAGGCGTCACTATCTCCGGGAAATAAAGAAACTGAGGAACGAAGGAGCCAATATCATTTATATGGACGAATCATGGGTTAATACTGGAATAACCAATGGGCAAGTATGGCAAGATACAACAATAAAAAATAGCCGACAGGCTTTCGTAAATGGACTTACCACAGGTTTAAAAACTCCGACCGGAAAAGGACCAAGATTTGTTTTAGTCCATGCAGGAAACAAAGACGGATTTGTTGAAGGTGCTGACATCACTTTTCTTGCCAAAAAAGGTGCTGAAAATTACCATGAAGAGATGGACGGAGATCTATTTGAAAAATGGTTTGAAGAGATGTTAATACCGAATCTCCCAAAAAATAAAAAGAATGTCATTATCTTGGACAATGCATCTTATCACTCTAGGAAATTAAATTTTTCCAAACAATATTGGGTGAAACGTCAAATTAAGGAGTGGCTCTATGAAAAGGACATTTATTTTGAAGAAGATTACTTAAAAAATGAACTTCTGGAAACTGCTAATGTATTTAAAAATATTTATGACAAATACAAAATTGATTGTATTGGTGAAAAATACAGGAATCACAGTGACGAACAATGCCGCGTAGATGTACATATCTTAAGACTTCCGCCTTATCACTGTGAACTGAACCCAATAGAAATGGTGTGGAGTGAAGTGAAACGGTACGTATCCTCTAAAAATTCAAGTTTCAAACAAAACGACGTTAAAACATTGATTTATGAAGGTTATGATAAAGTACAGAACATGGACATTGGAAAAATTACGTCAACCATGTTATAAAATTGGAGAATAATTTTTGGACAGTAGACAACATTCAAGATGACATTGAACCTATTAGAATTTCATTAAACGATGACTCTGAAGATGAACTAGATTATGAAAATGAAGATGATTGAAAATTGTTTTTCGGGGGTATTCTTTTCTCAGTAAAGGTAATAAAATATTTAGTTGATCTGGTTAAAATGTAGCACACTTAAATAACTCATTAATCGACATAATTTCAAGTAGTTATATTAGACGTCATTATGCAAAAAATAAAGTTATGAACATTTAATAAATTAGTGCACAATTGAGGCCCCTAGAACACAAGGGGTGTAAGTGCCAAAAACAAAGTTTTGAAAAATCTTTGTTCAAAGTTCGATATAAATTTAAAAACCTAGGTAGCACTTTTTCAGTTTTCAGCATGTTTTCAATGACATGTAATTTTTGATGGTGTTATTGTTGTTCATGTAGAAAGTTTGAAGCCAAAAGTACGTGCCTGTTGTTAGATATCAGTTGCTAAGTGATAAGCAACTGCACTTACACCCTTGTGTTCTAGGGGCCTCAATTAGGGGTTTTTTGCAATTATCTCAGTCATTTGTTTATGTATTTTAATTAACAAACTAAAAAATTAAAAAACTTTTTAAGATCTGCAACATTTATTTGAAACATTTTTCCCTAAAATGCACGAGGAACAAAATAGGCAAAAAAATGATTTTTTCCAAACTTCATCTTTCTTTAAAAAATAAACAAAGCAAAATTGGCTGTAATTCTTCAAGGAATTATCATCAGTTATCCCTTATCTGCCGTTTAGAACATTAAAAAACCTGTAGAATATTTTTCATATTTTTTTCCCTATTAACTGCGGAATTATGTATAAAAGCATTTTTGGAATTATTACCATTTATTTCATTCACGAATTTTTTATTAACAACTTTAGCTTACCTAAACATATCTTAGTTTACCGTGAGTTTGGCCCTGCTTATTTTACAAAAGTAGCAAAACTTACAATGGCAGTAGAATTGGCAACGCTGTTATCCTATATCCGTACACTGCCATCTGAACGTAACTTTATCTATAGTATTTTTTTATAATTCAGAAAATGGAGCTAAGATCATCTGAACAGCTCAAATCAATAAATAAAATAGAACAGAATAATATTTGACATGATGTATGTAAAGAAGAATTTAACTCATCATTAAGACCTTTCATTCTTAAAGGAATTTTTGCCGCTCTTATTTAGAACTCTTTAATTAGCTCATGACCTGATCCTCCCATCTATCGCTAGACCCTTGGTCTCAGTCTCCAGCTTCCATCTGATAACCTTCTTAATCAGTATGCCGTTTTTCCTATTTATTATAGTCATCTGCGCTTTAATAAATCTAACGATATCTGTCTCTTATTCATGGTTCATTCTTATCGAGCCCATAATACTTTTGAGGATTTTTTCGAATATTCTTAATCTTTCTTCATCTTTATCAGCGAGGCACATCGTCTCAGCTGCGGATGTAACTATTGGTCTGTATATTTTCAGTTTTGTATTTCTGGATAAGTTCTTGTCCTTTATTAGAATATTGTTTCTACAGTATATTTTGTTGCTTGATAGTATTCGTTTCGTTACTGCTTCATTTGTTTTATTTTTGCCATTCACAATATTACTCCCAAGTATTTAAATTGTTGAACTCCTTCAAATTTGTAGTTTCCTATTTTGATTTCTTTTGTCTTGTCATCTTCCCTGCTAGAGAAGATATTTTGTTTTTTCTTCATTACTTTCTAGACCTCTTTTCCGTGCTTTATTTGCCAGGATTCTTACTGCTTCTTTTTATCTTTTCTTATCTTCTTCCATAAGAACTATGCTACCTGTATATGTTACTATTTGTGTTGAGGAGTGGTCTATAGTAATTTATTTCTAATATCTACGACGAGAATGTGGTGTGGTGGTATGCCTTCTCCGAATTGAAGTAGTCCCTAATTTTTTTCTCTGAATTTAGTGAGTTTTTGTCTGATTAGGGCTGTTAGAATTTTCTATGATGTACTGAGTAGAAATATTCCTCTATAGTTGTTTCATTCTGGTACTTCCCCTTTCTTAAATATTGGTATAATTTTGCCTTCTTTCCAATCCTCGGTCTTCTACTTCCCATATTCGAACTATAGGTTGTAGATGCTCGTTGATAATTTTTCCTTTTCGTTTTTAATCAGCTGGTTGGGAATTTCATCTGGGCCAGGTGTTTTTGTCTGTTTAATTTTTTAACGATATACAAATATCCATCATATATTGGTATCCTTTTTTCATTAAAACTCATATCTTCTGTTATATATAACAGAATTGTGTTTCATGCTTTATAGTTCTGTGAAGTGTGTTTCCCAAGATCCGTTTGTTGATCGTTCAGTATCCAAATAGTGTAGCGCTGTCTTTACTATTGTCTTCGAGATGCTTTAAAAACTCTTCCATCCATAGCTTTTGTTTGTTTTTGCAGCATTGGTCTGCTACTTTTTTTTTTTCTTTATAATCATTTCGATGGTGTTGTTTTTTTTAGTTAATATCCTGTTATTTCTTGCTTGTTTCTTCTGTTTGATTTTGGTTTCGCATTCTGTATCGAACCATTATTTCTCTCATTTTATTTCTTCTGTCTTAGCACCTCTTCAGCTGAATTTAAAATACAATATTTTATATTTTTCCATATTTGCTCTATGTTATTTGTTAATTAATCGTAATAATCACAAAATTTTGGTAAATATCTAAATCTCCTTCTTTTTTAAGTAGCGTCCACGTTATTGAAGATGGGTCATGTCACAACAATCTAATCACTATCTTGTACAGTTCTTAATAGTGAATGTCCATCTCTGTCCAATTTCTTACTTATTTTTACCACGAGCATTTTATTTTTCTCGCACCTCTATTTTACTCGAATTTCCCTCCATTATGAGACGTAGGAGGTTACATTTTAGATAACTCTTTATACATTTTTTAACTAATCGATTCCTATGATTTTTCACACAATTTCGTTCGTTCCTGTCCATGGGATCTTTAGGATTATTTGAAACACCCGTATTTTAAAGACTTCTATCCGTTTCATACTATTCACTCCTTGAGTTAATATTTCGACTCGACACAGTAACATGACATAAATGATAACTTTTTACTAACTGATATCTAACATCCTATGATAAGATAAACTTTGTGAGTCTTCATTTGTTGAAAGGCTGATCTAACATTTTTTCTTATAAGTTGTCAATACTTACGGCTATAAGAACTTTGTCATGCGAGTACGTAAACCGGTGACATAGATTTTATTGCTTTCAATTTTTTGCCTTATTTTCAATGGTACTGCAATATTTTTATATTTATACCATAGCTCATGTTTTTTTCAGATCTTTGTGTTTCACTCTGTCGAATGTCTTTTTTAATCCATAAACTAAAATAAACTAAACAAAAATACGTCTTTTCATCGGTCACTTTCAGTTATTTTTGAAACAGTACTTTGAACTCAATTTGTGCCACCGGGTCCAGAGTTCCCTGCGAAAACCAAATGCATTATCACACAATAATTCGCTCATTCTCTGTATATAAATATGATTCAAGCTTAATTGCCTGAAATATCCCATATTTATCTATAAGAACTACTAATACGGATATAACAATTCTTTTTTTATTTAAGCATATTGCTTTTTGTTCAAAGCGAATATTCTCATTCCCTCTATTATATTCTTAGTTTCTATCTTGGACCCACTCATCTACGTCATGTTTATCCAGCATGTTTCTGATATCATTATTTTTATATTTTATTCTTTCGTCTAATCTTTCCTCTTGTATATATAATCTGTCTAATATATTTTATAATCTCTCAGAGCACTCTAACTCTAATATCACTTAGGCAACATGAGGCAAGGTGTATGAAGAATGCAATGTGTAAAATCGCCATTATAGATACTGAAGTTCGTTATTTTTAGGCTTGTCAATATACTACAATGCTAAACCTTCATGAGTGTTTCGATATTGATGATTTCTTAATACCTCTCATATTACAAGATAGACTTTACGGAGTCGATGATTTTTTAAAAAATAATCCGAAACATCAGACAGAACTTGTTAAATGGATGGATGGAATATTAGCGAATACATCTGTCCGGGAAACATTGGGAGAATATGTAGCGTAAGTATTGTAAATATTTTTAGAAGTTTTTTATGTACAGTTATACCGATTCAACGAGAAAAATCGGAATTTTGTACGTTAATAAACAATATTGTAGTCAAATTAGGTCACGTTTATATTATTCACGAAAACTATCCAAGTCCCAAAATACATATCAATTTAACATGTCCTTCCTAATATTTCTTCCTAAGAAGATATATTATACAAGAAAACCTTTTTTACTAAAATACCTTATTCTCACTGCGCTGTTTAGCACAGATTATGTTTTCGTTGTGAAAACGTAGAGCCGAAATTGTTGAATCAAATTTCACTGAATGACTTCGTCAGGGATATTGGCTAACGAAAGAAAAAACTGAGTTATTTGAATCAACTCACCAAGACAAAAATAAAAGTTCCTGTTAATAGTTTTAACCAGTTTTGGTGTATATAGGAAGAGCGATCAGCAGTTTTCCAAGTATTTTAAAGAAGAGTGTTTGATTTAGTGTATTGTTCACACTAAATAACACAGAAAAATCAACAATTGACCAGATTCATTCAATAAGCCAAATGCTCGAGAAAACATTAGAATTTAACATTGAAACCCATCACCTATTCGTCGACTTCAAAGCCGCATACGACAGTGTCAAGAGTACTATACCAATCAATCCGTGAGTTTGGTACATCAGAATAACTTATCCGATTAACGGGCATGGTAATGTAACTTCAAAACCAGTGTTAGGATAGAGAGGGAGAATTCTAAATTCTTTAAGATAATGGATGGTCTCAGATAAGGAGATGGCTTGCCTCCTATTTAACATTGCCTTAGAAAAGGCAGTCCGAGATACACGAATTAGAGACGGCGGTATTATTTACAATAAATCAATACAAATCTTAGCATACGCTGATGACATTGACATACTAGGACGTAGCATGCGAGACGCTGAGAAATATTTCCTAGAACTGGAAACGGCAGCGAAACAGGGCGGTATAGTCATCAACCAAGACAAAACCAAGTACATGTTGCTTACTACGGATCCTATAGCAAATGATAAACGGGTAACTGTTTTTGAAAGTCATATTTTTGAACGCGACATCTTCACATACTTTGCTCGCTGGTGACTACTACCAACAAAACAGGCGAAAAAATTATAGATGAATAGACGTTATAAGTGGGTATACTATGGACCCCAAAAACTATTTCTCTCAAGAAATATCCAAAGAAGAACTAACATTATTATATACAAAACACTACTGAGGTTGGTCCTCATATATGGGGCGGAACATTCGAGTGGACTCGAATTTTTGGGACTTCGAGGACTTTTGGGAATGTTCGAGTGTAAAATACTCGCAAAATATGTGGAGCTATTAACGACCATATTAATAGCTGTTCAGGACGAAGAAAAACTTCATGGGTGAAGAACTTGCAAGTTGGAATGGAGACCCCGAATACAAGCTAATAGAAATAGAGGTCGACCCCCAACGAGATGGACAGATGAGGTCTATGATGAAAAGCATGCGAGAGGCCTATGTTCAGCAGTGGACGTTAGAGGCTAGTTGATGATGATGACATGTGGTCATGGGTGGAAAAGTGAGGCTAGGGATCAACATTAATGCAGAAAGAACTGGCTTATGAGGGAGTCCTTAAAACCTGGTGAGAAGAACATTCTACAAAAAAACCTACAAGGATAACTTTGAATTCACAATGACCTTAAATGAGAAGGAAGTATTTAAGCATATAAGTATTAAGTATATAAGCATTTAAGAAAGTAGTGAAAAAGTCTTGATTAGACTTTGTAACGAAGTTATGAAGGAAGTATTGGGAAATAAAAAAGCCTTAGAATATGTTTTGTTTTGTAACAATCATTTTAAAGAAGTTTCAATAATTAAGATGTTTGATGAATCTGGAAGTTCACTTTTTTGAACATTCCCTTTGATTGATTTTCGGATAATTTTTTTGATGTTAGTGAGGAGTAAGGTGAGCGTTTTCACGAGGACAGTAAATTGTTCTTACATACGCTACCAGGGCAGCTGGAACACCAACATGATGGGGAACTACTTTTGGTCACTTTGATCACGGAGAAGTGACTTATAGTAAAAAAATCTCTACAAGAAGCCTTAAACAAAAACGAGAAAGGAAGTATTTGTACAAACTAATTTCAGTCGAACAGTGAAGCGTGTATTACCACATTATATCACTGTTTTAAGTAGTCTACTTTAAATATAAATCATGCCTATGCTTTAACATAACGTTTCATTAATCTCGCAGTATACCGGTACTATTATAATAAAAAGAAAATTGCTTAAAAACTATAGGTGATACAATAAAATTAAAGCCAGATTTAAAGCACAGCACAAAAGAATCTATAAAAGTTAGCTGTTAATGTAAACAAAGCTTTAAAAAAATTGTTGGCCTATGTATTAGGGTGGGTCGAAGTTTTCAAATACTAAACAAGTGTGGGTATGAATCGGAAGTTTCATTAGACTATTAGAAATAGTATAAAAATAATAAAAAATATATCACATATATGTTTTAGCTCTCTACCGTGATTTGAAATTTCCCATAAATGGAAATTTTTTACAAAATAAAACAAACAAAGTTTTATTTTGTAAAAGTAAACAAAACCAGGCTATGCTACGTAAGACTCCATAGGCGTGTGGTTTTGCTTTCATATTTCCTATGTCCTATCAAATTAATAAAACAGTATGTACAATTAAAGATTTGTTTACTACGAACAACGAAGATAAAATATACAATGTTAGTATTATTTTCAAGGAAATTTAAAATTAGCTTCCCTACTGTTAGTATAAACAGAAACTTATGGTTGGACAAAAATAATAAAGCAGTAATTGCAACGTTGTTTTGACACTTAAATGATCAAAATCGAAACATCAAATACACTTATTTTTTTAAATTGTGTGTTAGTTCGCATCAAAAGTAGTAACTTATGTTTTCAGTTTTTATTTGAAAAACAATAAAATTCACGTATAATTGTACATATTGTTTTAATAATTTAATACGAAAGCAAAACTGTATGCCAAATTTTGATTGATTGGCAAAGAAGGCTTCTGGCTGAGTGCAAAATAAACAACTGATCAAATCCTACCACTCGATATAGAAAATGAAAGGGGGGCTATAACGATATACTTAAGGATAGAAAAAACAAACAGGGCGACCCAAAAGGGCACTACGAAGCATCTTCGTTATTAATGGATGTATAGTTTCATACGAGATATCATAGTGCACTATGGATGAAAAGGCGTCTGACTGAATACAATATAAACAACTGATCGAATCCTCACATGCGACATAGTAAATGAAAGGGAAGGATATAACGAATATATTAAGATAGAAAATCAATTACATATCTTAATAGATTCGTTATATCGTCCCTTTTCATTTGCTATGTCGCATGTTAGGATTCGATCAGTTGTTTATTTTTTAGTCAACCAGAGGCCTTCTTGAAGTCAATAAATGAAAATTTGTCTTATAGTAAATTTATTTTCATCCATAGTGCCCTATGATATCTCGTATGTAACTATACGTCCATTAATAACAAACATGCTGTGTAGTGCCCTTTTGGTAGTCTTGTTTGTTTTGTTTATCGTAATATAGTCTTTATCCCCTTACCTTTCATTTTCTATGCTGAATGTTGGCATTCAATCAGTTGTTTATTTTGAACTCAGTCAGAGGTCTTCCTTGATTCAATAAATCAAAATTTGTCTTATAGTAAATCTATTTTCATCCATAGCGTCCTATGATATCTCATATGTAACTATACGTCCATTAATAAGGAAGATGCTGTGTAGTCCCATTTTGGTAGTCATCTTGTTTGTTTTGTTTATCTTAATATAATGGTTATCCCTCCCCTTTCATTTTCTATGTTGCATGTTTGTTGCAGGATTTAATTAGTTGTTTATTTTGAACTCAACCAGAGGCCTTGCTTGAGTCAATAATCACTATAAATATAATGACTATAAATCATACGGTCGGCCGCAACTTATGCTACGATGTCTACTTCATATTTTCATATGTATTTCATAATACAGGAAAATATAGGTTTATACTTAAAATCATGATTTGAGAGTGCCCCTCGTAACATTCATAATGTTAACGGTTTATTTATATTTACTGCAGCTCTATCTTGTATTTAGTGTAGAAATGTTTAGAAAGGTTTTCGAAGCCCCGCCCATTGTGACTTCAGCGGTGAGGTAGTCCATTAATACACAACTGACCGTTTCCACTAAACAGACTCGAGTTTCAAAAACTCGTGACTCGAAAAACAAAACGAACTGTTTCAAAACACATCAGTCTTTAAAAAGTTTGTGAAAAGTTGCTATTTTGTTTTATTGGACACAAGTTTGTGTTTTGTTTTTATTTTGTCCGTTTGGTGGGAAACCGCCATTAGATATTACATTTAATTTTAAAACAATTTTTACATATTTAATTTAATTTTATTCATTCAATGCATTACAATAACGAATTCACATTATTATGTTGTTGGAAAACCTTATTGTAACATTTATTAATTTGATTTTATCTTTGTTATTGTTCTGATCATAAAATATAAATGTTTATATTCATTTATTATAACTATAAATGAATAAATTCAAGCACTATAATTCCCTGACGCACGCCCTGGCTAAAATATTATCACTAGAACAACAGTGGTCCAACTAAGTTACAGCAATTCTTCCGCGTACAAGGACTACTAAATGATATGGTATGCTGTTAATACTTGAGTTTCGTATACGATGTCTATTTATATAGTTTATGAGGTGGATATTATGTACGTTTATACTTTTATACATTGTAAATCATGATTTGGGATTGCTCCTCGTAATATTCATAATGTTGATAATGTGTATTGGTTTGTTTACTGCTACTGCATCTTTAAGTTAAATTTGGTTTAAATTTTTGGTTCTAAAGAAGATTAATGCGTGTTAAGTTACTGATGAGCTGTTGTCACTAGTTGCACGCATGCGCGAGCGAGATTGCTAGACTGACCTTTCAGTTGATTTCGTAGAAATCGCAGTACCATAGATAAATAATATAATAGTAGAAATATATAGGCAACTCAATGTATAAATTTCGTTCATTAGGATCCATTGCGGCTGGGACCAATACTAATAATTTTTTGGCGGCAAATTCGAATGGACACTCCTTACATACATACCCTTTAGCGCCTCTTGCGGGCTATTTCGTTACTAATTAAAATTTACTGGAAAATAAGGATATATAATATAAAAGATGCACACATACGTATATTTATTTGTTGTTTAAGATAAAACAGTTATAAACTAATTACATAACATTTATTACACATATTTTCAGAAACAAATATTAAATACTATTATTGTTTGCTTCCTGACAACTTACTATCATCATCCTATTTGTAATTTTTCCATGATTTGTACACAACGGAACAATACAATACTTCACCATGTTCAGTTTTTTTACTAGCACAATACAAAAATTCTTTGCTACAATAGGTAACTCAAACTAAACTTTAAAACTAATTAACCAACTTAAATTAAAATTACTAAGAATAAATGCAAACGAAAGTTAAAAATAATAAAATAAAATTGAAAACTTGTTAACAAACGGAAGATCTGTCATTACTTTTGACAGAATTGACATTGCGGAATTAAGCTTCGTTTGATTATTTTATTGGGTTTGAGTTATTAACTCGCTGGGGTTAAGGTGATAGGGGAATGAACCAAGGTCTTTATATAAGATTCCAGGGCATGTCGAAGTACCGTTTTGTCTGGACAGGTCGGCAGATCACTATTTTTTTTTGTATGATTTGTTGTCGGATTTTGCATAATTGAAACTGCTTCGTGTTGTGTACTGCATTATTGCCGTAATAACTTTTAATAACTAATAAGTTTATTGAACTGAAAGATATAAGTGTGTTAGTAAAATGAGTTCAACACTTTTAAAAATTCGAAGTAAAGTGCGCTGTCGTATATTTGGAATACATTCTGAACCATCTTCAAGTGTATTACCTACTGTTAGTGACATTATAAGGCATATATTATATGTGCGATATGATCTACAAGAACAGAACTCCGGAAAACAGACGCCTATAACCGGAGTTCACACTGTAGTTTGTCAACGCATCGAAAAAATCTGGGCTTTGGCTTCAATTCCAACTGTAAGCTCAAAACGCATTAAGGACCTTCTTAACAGGTATTAGGATCAATATATTAAATTAATTCGATATCCAAAAACAAAAAGGTCTGATACATACACAGAAAAAGTGGACGCTTTCCGAGAAACTTCCATGGCCAGACTTTTTGACATTGTATCGTGTAAATGCATGACATTTGATTCTTGCAAATGCCCTAAGAATCATAAAGTACCTATTATCGAGCCTTCTTTCCTATTCGACCAAAGAAAAAAAAAAAAAGAAAAATGATGATAACAGATGTCGATAAAAATACTACCATTCAGTTACAGCTCGCATTGGATCGACAAATGAAGCATCATAAAAAAATCGAACTTAATAATAGAAGTCCTTGCAAAAAAAGAAAGATGTCCGAAATGAGTAAGAATGTTTCAGAAGCACATGTTGATAACGATATTGTTGACGTTGATTCAGAACCTATACCTTCAACATCAACTTCGGAGTCTAATAAAATCTATAATACAGTACCTCGCAAGAATCTGCGATAGATATAGAGTTTCAAACCGATCCGCGGCTACTATTGCTACTGCAGTGTTACAAGATGTCGGACTTGTGTCCTCCGAAGAGAACTGTTTGGTTATAGATAAGTACGTCGAGCACGAAATAAAGCAAGGCCACATCTACAAAGTAATGTACACCAAAGCACTCTAGAAAGTATTTATTTCGATGGGAGAAAAGATAAAATTTTACCGATCGAAAAGAAAAATGGTCGTTCTTATCGAAAACTGGTATCAACAGAACATATTTCTATCATAACCCAACCAAACTCACAATATTTAGGACATACGACACCAGTAATTGGAACTGGAAAAGCTATATGTGATTCTCTTCTTAGCTTTCTTTCAACCAATAATGTGAAGCTAGATCTTCTGAAATGTATAGGATGTGACGTAACTAATACGAATACTAGATGGAAGTCTGGAGCAATTTGATTTATTGAGTTACGTTTAGAAAGGCCTCTTCAATGGTTTATTTGTTTACTACACGCAAACGAATTGCCTCTAAGACATTTATTTAGTGTATTGGATGGGCGAACCAGCAGATCTCAGGGATATTCTGGGCCTATCGGAAAGACACTGGAAACCTGCGACCACCATCCCTGTGTTAAAGCGTTCATCCCTGTCTCCGATAACATTATTTCTCAAAAAGATGTGATAAAATCTTTAAGCACCGATCAAAAATACATGTACGAAATGTGTCAGGCCGTATCATTGGGTCTGTGTAGCAACCAACTCGCTAACAGGCAGACTGGCAATATGTCACATTCTCGCTGGTTTATAACGACTAACCGCATATTACGCCTTTACATTGGAACCATTGACCCATCTGAAGAACTCCAGACATTAGTTGATTATATCATGAAAATCTACGCTATCGTATAGTTCTACATCAAAGGGCAACCTTCGTGTGAAATGGGTCCCAAACATCTTTTTAAATTAATTCAATACTCCAGATGTTTATCAGATAAAGTGAAAATAGTTGTTGATCCAGTAATACAACGTAATGCATTTTTTGCCCATCCGGAAAATCTTGTGCTTGCTATGATTACAGACAACAGAGGTTTCGTCAAAGAATTAGATCTAAGACGTATCATAAAAGCAAGAAAGGAATCACGTGATAAGGTAAGAGTGTTTAAAGTTCCGAAACTAAATTTCAATGCAACAGACTACATTGAAATGATACACTGGGCCGATTTACTAGTAACTTCACCTCCCTTACTAGGAGACATTACAGACTCAATTCTTGTGAATATGTTGTCAAACATGCAATTAAAATAGAATTTTCAAAATTTCCCTGCCATACTCAAAGTGAAACGGCTCGTGATGGATTAATTCGTACCACACTCGAGTCGTCTTATGCCCTCTTTTGATTGTAAAGCTAAATTTAAGTATTAACATTGCAATTTTTCTGTTTATTATATTTTTGTACATAAATCTTATAGTTAGTGTACCTATTTTTTTCTGAATTTGTCAAAAATGTATGTTTTATTAATAATAAATATTTTGTTTTTTTAAACAGCTTGTTTAAATTTTATTTTACCCTTTAAAAATCATAGAAACAAAAATTTAAAAATCTGACATTTCAAACGCAGGTAGAGGGCTATAAACTATATTGAATTAAAAATCTAAAAGCATTTTCTCAAACAATTCGGTATTGTGCAACTTTTAAAACTACCCACCTATAAAATTTGATTTTTTTTTACAAAATCGACCCACTCTACTATTTATTGACACAAACGTATTTTTTCATTATAGAAACCGAGTCATACCAGATTTAAAGTATAACAAAATGCATGCGAAACCTTGGAAAAAATTAATAACAAGAATGGTGAAGATGTTTAAGTTACCAGCTGATTTGACTCCCAATTTAAACAGAAGAAGAAACGAAGGTGCTCTAAACTTCCTCTTGCACAAGAGATTTATTGAAAATAGTTTTGGTAAGTATCATTCCTTATAAGCTTAATTTTAGTTTAATCAAACGTGAAAGTTTCTAGTAAATAGTAGACACAATAAATGCACTTCTTGTTAATGCTACGATGTTCGTATTACGCATTTTATCTTCTATCGTATGTAGGCTATCACATTGATCCAGATAATCTTGTCGAACTGATCTGAACAAGATGTTAGTTTTTTCCGTACACTGTCTAAGATTCTTAAGTCATGAGGTTCTTCTATCAAATCTCTGTTTGCCTCAGTGTTTACTTATATTATTATTTGGAGAAGGATACATTTTGTATTTCCCGTAAGATGCCAAAACTATTCAAGTTTTCTGGTTTTTATGGTATTTAAAACTTCCATTTCTTTTCGCACATGCTCTATAATCATTTTATTTGATTTTATAATTAATGTATTAAAAATATGGCTTGATTTTTGATTTTGATTAAAAATCAACCAAGGAGTAAGATAAGGAGACACAATATATATCCCTATTAACGGAAGATACTTAAACTATCTTAGATACGCAGATGATGTAGTACTAATAGCCGACAAGTGGAATGCACTGAATATGGTGATTGATGAGCTACATACAGAATCCCTAAAAAACGTCTGACAATGAATTTTAGCAAAGCTAAACTAATGTCAAACAAAGATGACAGACCTATGATAAACTTCGAAGGGACAGAGATAGAACACGTAGATGAATACACAGATTCCAAATGTCAAGGTAAGCAAGGAAAATCAGACGACCGAAATAAGCAGACGTGTAAAAATGGGATGGGCAGCATTCGGAAAACTCTCATACGTGCCTAAAAATTAAAATATACCCCAAAGACTGTGAACCAAAGTACCTATATCCTACTTGTACTTACATATGAAGCTCAAATCTGGACGTTCACTAAAATAAACATAGAGAACATCAGAAAAACTCAAAGAGCTATGGAACGACAGATGCTGGGTATCTCACTCAAAGACCATAAAAGAAATGAAGACATTCGTAATAGAACAAAAGTAAAAGATGCTGTCGAACAGGCAGCTAAACTGAAATGGAAATGGGCTGGACATAACGAACGTCTTATGGATGACCGATGGAATAAAGAAATCGGGAATTGGCGGCCATATGAAGCCAAAAGACCAAGAGGAAGACCGCAAATGCGTTGGAGCGATTTAGTTTTAGCGAAGTTTAATTGGAAATAATTTACTAGTAACGATAATTACGAACCATTTTTGCATGTTATTCGTTTAAATATATTAAGAACCTTCCTCGGTGAATAGTTTTTTTTGTATGTTGTAGGTGATGAAAGTTGGAAAGAAATGGTACAAGAAGCTGTCGGGGATGAGGAGGAATTACAAAAGGAATTGGTTTACCAGGTTGCTCAATATGGTGATTTTGCAGAAGCGCTTCGGTGGGCACATTTTTATAATCTTGAGAGGAACGAGTGGCCGCAAGCAGTGAGAATGCTTGAAGAAAATCCGGATGGCAATAGGTAAAATAATATATATGTTTAATTTAGAAATTAATTTGTTTAATTGTATGTTGGACTTTATTGATATTGATTGAATGATAATTCAGAGTCAAAACCATGTTACAATATCTTTTTCGCATTTTTGACTAATGTGCTATTATAGTAAAGACAAAATCGTTTAAATAAAATAAAAGCTAATCTAGCAATATGTCTTGTTGTCCGTTGTCCATTTCTTTGAAGGTCGTATATGGTGTCCCTTTAAAATAATAATGTATTAAGAATATACTAACATTTAATTTGCCACCGTTGGTTATACGTATTTGAATCTTTTGATCTCAGATACGACGTGCAGAGAAGACGAGATAAGAAATGTCAGATATTACTCTCTGAGTCACATCATATTTCAAACTCTGGGAATGTGAATCTCCACCATTTTCTGTCTGAATTCTACATTGACAATTTCAAAGGGATCGATTGGATCTCTCCACACTACGACTATTAAGATTTTTTGTATATAAAAATATCTATATTCAGTCCAGCAGATCTAAGCTGCTAAGAAAACCTATTCTCTGTTTAGGAAAGATATTTATTTCCTGATTAGACTTTCAAAAGATCTGTTCAAGATACTTATGTCTTTGGTGAACAATTATCCTGTAGTTGCAGATCATTTCCTGTGCATTTTCGCAGAATGCACTTTCTGCTTTGACTCCTTTGCCCATTTTACAGAGATCGTATCTAAGTGGCCAATGTATAGGGAGAACACCTCCGTTCTTGCTAGACATTGCTCTGTCTGAGTTCGGTCTTTTAAAGTTACAAGAATATGTTTGACTAGTAAGCAAAATATTAAAACAACCTTTTTGCTTACCTTTGGCCTGGAATATTTGGAAAGCAGGCTACACTGTACAAGTTACTTTTTCCATTTTCGAATATACTCCACTATGCGGATTTCTGGTATGTCGCAGAATGACTCTGGTCTAATAAAATGAGTACTTGCTTCTTCTTTAGCAAGACTACCAGCAATCCCATTACCAACAATTCCTTTATGCTCTGGCACCCACAGCAAAGTTACTTTTTTGCGCTCTGCCAGTTTCTTAAGGGAGTCTTACGATTCCAAGACTCATACGTTGTAGACTTCAGAATCGTCACAGTTCAGCTTGATTGAGATGCTAGGGAAGCTTCGTGTTAAGGAAGATGTAGAGGAGTGAATTGCAACATTGCAGATAGTTAGTTGCTGAGACTTGCTGAAGAAAATATCTTATCCGGGATATACAGTTATGGAAAAAAAATATCTGACTATAGTGCATTAACAACGCAACGAACTGAGAAAAAATATTATATTGGCTTATATGTCCAAGAGAATAACATGTAACCACATGAGTAGTCCGCACTTTTCTGTTTTGTACTGTTTGGTGCCACTTTCCCCCCACGCTTGCTTTGGTTTCGCCTAGCCACCGTTTTTGGGGTCTTCCTCTACTACGATTGTGTTCGCGTTCTCTCCAATGTACAATGTTTCTCATCCATCTTATGTTGTCTTGTCGTACCACGTGTCCTTTCCAGCTCCATTTCAATTGCGCAATTCTTCAAATTACATCTTACACCTTCGTCTTGCTTAGCACGCCCTCATTTCTTATAATGTTGTCTTAGAGAAACTCCTAACATAGCTTGGCACTCTGTGTTGTTCTTAATCTATTGGCTGATTACTCTGTAAGCGCCATGGTTCTTCATTCCATAGGTATCCATTCCATAGAATATAAGTAGTGAATACCCCTTTTTTTAGAATTTTTGGTATCTTTTTGTTTTTCAACTCAACATTTAGTCTTCCTACTGCTGCTCAAGTCATTCGGATACTTCTAGTTATCTCTGCCGTTTGATTCTCTTTATCTAGTGTGTTTGTGTGACCTATGTATATATATTCTTCGACACTTTCGATTCCAATTCTATCATAAGTCTATTGGAATATTTTAATTTTTCATCACTTTTGTTTTATTTAAATTCATTTTTATTCCGACTTTCGCAGATTCTTGTTTAAACTCCTTTAGCATGTAAAGAAGTTCCTCTGCGTTCTTGCTTATGAGTAAGTACCATGATACAAAGAAAAGAGAAGATATGATCTTGCGCATGAGGGCGGAGTTGTCGTTTATAGTGTGACGCAATGTGGAGAGGTAAAGCATAACCTCAACCTCTAGTATTTGTATTGTTGTGAAGTGTAGAATTATCATTTAAATTTGTAAGCGAAAGATACTCTTTTCGTTATTTAAAGAGGAGGTGTTCAATAGCTCTGTGTAATAGTGACAATCAAAGTAAGATGGTTCAGAAAGATATTATGTTTTCCGTTTCCTCAACGATCCAAAGATTGTAAAAATTTGGGTAGAGACATGTAAACGAAAGGACTATTTTATTCCTAAAAATGGAAGGATTTGCTCAAAATATTTTACTGCAGATAGTTTCAAGAGTGCCTACATTATATTTACCTTTTGCGAAACCAGTCGAAAGCAAGTAGATAGATGTATTAAAAAATATGATACTTCTTATACAATTAATGATAATGAATTGTCTTATGTCAAAACAATAAAATACTTGTAACAGTTAATTCATTAAACACTTTAATCATTCGCAACTGTCTGAGACTATCTAATTGGGCTTTAAGAACAGTTTATTATGCTTTGTGCAAATTGCACAAAGATATTGTGCATATAAATTAAACATACACATTATTAATCATAATTATACAGATATTTTAAAAACACATGAATTTATTAAAAACCTGACGAGATAACTCTGATTTAGTATTTGTGTCTAAATTAATAAATGTTTTAATTTGTTGTCTTTGAACTTTTCCAATCTATTAGTTTATATGTTCCCTCCAGAAATCTCAAGCATATTGATCTGTTTTGTATACCTTTTCACCATACAAATTATGGTATGCATTCGCCTCTTAAGCGAACACTGAAAATTATAAATAGGAACAATTTAGAAATATTTGGTGTCTCCTTGGCTTCGTTTAAAAAACGGATAAAAAGCTTGACAAGTTATAGGCACTTTTTTGTTCAATTTATTTTGTTTCATATATAATTAATATTATGTTTGATTTATAATTAGTTTATGGCCGATTACAGAGATTGATTTTTACACTGTATGTTAACATATATTTTTTTGTAACGGGGGTAATTCTGTATATTAATAAATAAATATGTTTAATTTATTAAGTCGGTTCGTCACAGTTTTTTCAATTGTCTTGCAAATCCGGAAGAAGCGTGTAGCAGTCTTGCTTCATCATTTGGAGGATTTCTCAGTCCATCAAAGTAGCTAGTAGTAGTTCATCAGTAGAGTCCTAGTGTAGGGTTTTATTGCTTACATACTAGGGCGCGTTGAATATCATTTTTAATATTTTTGATTGAACTTGTTATATATGAGACAAACAAATCAAATATGAAAATTAACACTGTTATAATACAAGGATAACTACTGATTTTTTCTAGATTTGGTGGCCTTACACCGTATTTGAACATTCAAGTACAGTATTTGAACCTTATTTAACAATGAAAATATGTCATCAAAAGAATGGCTGATTATATCTTTATAATGTGTTTTTACCCCTCATATTTTTTTGTAACATATCAATAATTTTTAAAATTATTGATATGTTTAATTTCTACCTAATTTTAAATATCAATCAAATGTAAGTGCATAATACAAAAAAACTACTCTTCTTTATATGTATTATAAACGAAATAAAATCATGCTATAACCAAAAATAAAAGAATTTTTATTTTTAATTTCAGCAGACTTACATTAATTAGTTTTAAATACTAAAGTTAACCAAAGCCTTTAATTAATATCCTTGGCACCGGATTAACAATCTTTGCTATTTAGCTCCCGGCCTCAAAAACGCTTAATCACGAAATATCAGATATCTCATAAAGTTATTAAAAAAAAAAAATAATTAAAACAATAAATTATAAAAAAATAATAAAGTGATGAAATTAAGCAGTGCTTCCATGTACTTTAAGAATGTACCTCTCCGCATGACGTCACTGCGCAGAACAGACGAAATTTAGCACGATATCGATCATACCTTCTTTTCGTTGTACCATGAGTAAGTACTATGTCATCGGTAAATCTTAGATGACTTCTTGTTGATATAATCGTTCCAAACAGAATAGGAAAAAAATATAAAGATAAATCAAACATTCATTAAAATATGACGGCTGCTTTAGATGAGAAATGTGGAACGATTGAAAGATTGCAAAATACCAAACCAATTAAGCAAATAAGTACAAGTAGTACATATAACAAATAGAAAATGATTACTTTACCTTAAAAATAAAAATAAAAAAAAAAAGAAAAAAAGCACGAAACAGATCAGACTGAAGAAGAATTCTGGAACAGATCAAGGCTCAAAAAGGGTTGACGAGCTAGTGATGATGATATCACCATTACAGGGAAGAAGCATTGGGCGACCTAAAAAATACTGGTGTAGCTTGAAGATTAAACACACACTTTGTCTATTAAGAAGGATGACGTAGAAAAAAAATTAGCGACTACTGTTTGTTATTAAATACTCCAGTCGTTAAAATGCTACTTAATCCCTAAAAATCATACAAATGAGCTGAATTTTGCTGAGTATGTTAATCTTGGGACCTCAAAAATACGTAAAAAAGTTTACCACCCCCGGCTTCCCCACAAAACCCCCTAATAGGGGGTATTTATATATTATATAGGAAGGGAAACTTTATTTAAAATTGATTTCGCGGTCGCAATTGACATTCAAAATTGCCGCTCGCTTTAAGCGTTTTTTCTAAGAGAATGGTTTATTCTATACTTCATCTAATTTATATACCGATGCACGTCATTATCTACGTCAGAGATAGAAGTTGACATGGTATAAAAAATCCTGAATCCATTTTACATCAAATAGGTCACATAATTATTGCAAAAGTATTGCCATCTCTTTACAACACTAATTTTGTTCTAAAAAGAACAGATTTTATTAAATAGTTAAAAATATAAAACAAGAGGTATTCACTTTAAAATTCAAAATAATAAAGTACAAAAAGTGTCAACACCGTAACTGTCAAGTAAGTGTTACTAATTTATGCCAAAATTTCACCTTCGTTCGATTACAGTTACAGTGTGTTCCGAACAAATGTTCTTCATAAAAACGCTTTACAATGCATTTATACAAATTAAATGAAACATATTATTATGTATTTCTATAAGTTAACCTTAATAGAAATTTTTAAATATTATTTCTACGCATATATAATAAAATATGTCTAGTGGCTGTAATGCCAGTGTACTCGGCAAAGTAATTCTAAAAAAGAACACACCTACCGCCTAAATATTTCGTGTTGGTATCATGTTTCACGGGCTATGACGCCGATGACGTGCATTGGTATGTAAATTAGATGAAGTGTACATAAAAGTGCTCCTAAACATTTTTGTTCCAAATTATTTCAGCCACATTTTTTTATTTGAAACATTTTTTTGTGCGGGGTTCAGATTCTTGGTAAATCGATTTTTTCTGTCGCTCTACCTTACGAGTGTGCGTTTTAGGGATAGCGGGGGTAGGAGTGGTGAACTATTCTGCATCTTTTTGGGATCCCAAAATTGACATTATCAGCAAAATTCGGCTTGTTTGTATGGTTTTTAGAGGGTCCAATTACTGATGATTAGAGGTGTCATTTAAAATTTTTAATTATTTGTGGATTAAATATCGGAGATCATTGTTAGAATGAATATAAAATCGAATTTTCGGCCTGCACCTAATTGCATATTTATATGTATTTATATTTTTTAGGGTACAACAGAAAATAGTACCGCAGGATATTATCTGGGATGACGACGAAATCCAGCAGCCGTCTGAACAAATAGACTATCATAAAATGCCATTGCCAATGAGTGCAATATGTTTAATAGATGATCCATTAAGATTCGAAAATTTTTTAGACATGGCTTCTCAGGTATTTATATTTTATATTCGTTTCATCAGTAATCGAGTTGTCAACAGTAAGTGGTGAAATAAAAAATAGATTGTATTATTACGAAGAAGTATTTGGGAAACTGCAATACTGCTTATACTGCAATTTATTTATGTTCCAGTTCTACCTATTAGAGGAACGGTAGTAAGAGAAGACACAAAATTTCAAAAGCATTTGTATTGTGTTAAATAAACTCTAACAGACAGATGGTGAAAACTAAAGAACATGTTTAATTATAGAGAAAATAAACAGAAAAGCATAAAATATCATTTCTTTTAAACTGAAAGGTGTCTAAATGTTTCGAAGTGGGAACACTGAGACATACCTTTCACATATAGTTTTTTAAAGTTTATTTCGAATTTTAACAAGCGCTTTTGCTTATTTTCCATTCCTTGTGTTACAGGTGGTTTTAAAATCATTGCTATATCCTTTTTAAGTACCAACGCTATATCTGGAATATTAGGCATAACAATTTCTTATAAGATTTTGTACTTTTCCTTCATAATGATACATGAAAATCATTTTTATGGACTCGGCGGAGAGCTTTTGGCATATTTTACTAGTATACATTTATCAGGAACTGGTTGTCAACAAAGTTCTTCCATCTCAAAATACGATTCAATATCATCTCTGACAAGATCTACCGCTGGAGACTTGCAAATTCATTTGCTCATCGCTACTTCCTCATCGTCAGAATCACCGTCAACTATTCTTTTTTTACTTTTTATTTCCTTGGAGTTGAAGTTTGTTAGATTTTATTAGCTCAATTTTTCAGGTCTGTAGGTTTTTATCATTTTCCTACCTTCGCGTTTCTTTCTATTTCCTTTATTCTCTAAAACCAGCCTTGTAATAGCCTTTGAAAATACTTGGACTATAAAACCCTTATTACTAGTTTCGTGTGTGTTATCAGATGATGTTTGCAGTACGTTACAATACAGTTGATGTTTTATTCTTATCTGTGATCTATTGTCGATAGAATTTGCCATAAAATCTTCTTCATTAAAAATATGCTCATAAAAGGAAAAAATTTCCATTTTTTCAAATGAGTTTGCACTATTAACTGGAGTCATTGCACGTGGATAAGCTTACCCCACACAGAAAGCGATGTTGTATATACCAAGTGTTTGACCTGGATGGTTGATCTTCCAAGAATCTACAGCGGAGCTAAAAAATGTCTGATGCGGTTTAAGGACATCTAAGTGCTGTAGTCTGTGCAATGACGTTATCGATTATCAATCAGAATGGGTTCTCTTTTGAGCTACTGGTGTGCTTGATGGATTGTCAAAGAACCTAAACGAAACACTCTGCATTCATCCACCCTCTTTTGTCCCATCCCAAGCTTCCGGGTGGTGAACTAGTTATCATTATTCCTTGTAATGTACTCTCTAAAATATCAAAGGTGAAGGCGTTGAAATCCCCGCTGTTCCAACATTTTAGTGAAAAATCTGACAAAAGTTAATAATAAAAAGCTTCTCGTTCACTATACTTGACCGTTGCTTAAGTCAGAGAGCCTAATTGGGGAAGGGTAAGACAGATAAATGATAGATAATAATTAGATAATAAAATATATCAGTTTGACTAAGAAAAAACAAGAAACACGGAATAAAGCTAAACTGCAAAATAAAATGGGCGCCAAAGAGTTTTAACCTAAAACTCGTAAAGGAACTCTAAATTAAAACCGTTAAAATAAAACATTTTAGATGTGTGGGCTGGGGAGGGTTATGTAAAATAACACTCTCTGGATTGGAAGAATAACGAGACGACCTAAGCTCAGAAATCTGGACGATATAGTGAAAGATTTAGACAGGCATTGTAGCGCCATGTAATGACGATGTAATTTTCACGATAAGAAAGATGATGAAAAATATAGGATCAAAGAAACAAACGTTCATATGGTATTCATGATTATAAGAATTATATGATAGGTAACCCATTAGAGGTTTTGCGGTGTAGTTAAGGAACACGGGTTGCTCCTTGTTGTGGCAGCTTGTCAATTTCCTCATTTTCGTCAATCTTTTTGACCAGGCACCACATCAATGTTACCTTGTTGTTTGTTGCTAGTTTTTTAAGAGATACATTGGTGATTACGTTTGTTTTTCATTATTATATAGCAGGGTGGTTTATATGCTTGTTTTTACTAGAATATTGTTACGTTTTTCTGTGGATTCAGAGATTAAGTGAAGCAAACGTGGTTTAATTAACTTTATTTTCACTCCAAAATTCTCACTAAATTACAAATATACCAAATTCTAATTACATTAATAATTATCGCTTACAATTTACAGTGATATCGCTTACAAAACAGTTTGTCAATGCTAATTATCAAAGGCCGCCTAGGCGGCGTATATAATAAGAACTAATGTTCTAGAAATAACTAGTTATGAGACGGAGGTCGAATCGGCGCGATAATACCAAATTCCAGAGCATTATCGGCGACTAGAACAAGTCCGCGTTAATAGAAATGGCGAGTAGAACATTTGACGGTATTTGTAGATGTTCGATGTGGTTAAATTACATCAGATCTACAGACGGATTGCTGCTATTTCGCAGGTTAGACGTTCGTTTAAGGTTTTCGTTACGTTAGTATTGGGTCGGGTACTTCTATATATTTCATTGTATTGGTTTATTTTATAATAATATAATACTAATTTATTCATAATGAAAGATCATTTACATGATATAGGATAAGCCGAATATATATATATATAATATATATATGAGTTATTGCCAACAATTCAAAAAATTACTTCCTTTAAATGTAGTCACATTGGGTTTTTCGATTAACCTTGGGTAAACCTTTGCGTTTTAGGTTCAAAGCTACCATACATTTCCGACGTTAACAAATAAACTTTTTTGCACATAGTAACAAAAAAACACCACTATGTTGTTACTAGCTAAAGTTTTTTAACATCATAGCTCGACATTTCTAAAATTTACGCCCTGTAGAAGCCAAATTAATTCTCTTTGGCGAAAACGTTAGGCGAAACAATTGATACACATTAGAGTTTTCTTGCAGATTTCCCCAATATTTAAGAGTTTACTATATATATATATATATATATATATATATATATATATATATATATATATATATATACAATATAAAACATCACAATTTCAGAATTAAAGGTTAAAAAGTACATAGAATTAATTATTTACATCACCCATATATTCATTTACACTGTAGAAACAATTTTGCAATAGAAAAGATTTTCATTTACATCGAAATTTATTTAAATTCATTTCAGATTTAATACCGTTGGAAAGATAATTGAAAAGTCTATACCTTAGTTATAATACTGGGATTTTTCAAATCGTGCTGTATTATGTTTTGGTACTCTGATGAAGTCATTTTGTCTAGTTGGGTACTGGTGATATTCAGAGTTTAAATGAAAAGTAGTTAGATTGGCTTTTATATGTAGAATACATTTAAAAATATATATAGAAGGTACTGTTAAAATGTTGTATTCTTTAAAATATTGTCGACATGAATGCCTATATGGTAAATTAAAAATTAACCGAATTATCCTTTTCTGAGAGACAAACATTCAATAATAATAAACATTCAATAACTGTTCCTTTTTAAGAAAGCTTTTTAATTGCAATATTGCGTAATAACTACTATTTATTCAATATACAAACCTAAAAGTATGTTAAAAGTTGTAGAATGAACCAGGCTATCATTTACTTTTATAGAAAACTGCTAACTTGAATTTGATCTATAGTAGAATTGCATGCTTGTGGTTTTTTTAGCATTAACAATCAAAGCATTTTTTTACACCACTCTGTAAAATCTTTTGATATAACATTCAGTTGAACAGTTAATTCCTCGGCACTTAAAGCAGATATAGCAATGGTTGTGTCATCTGTATACATAGATATGTTATTTGAACTGATGTATCTGGTCATATCATTAATATAGCAGAGGAATATTAATGGCGCCAATATTGAACCCTGAGGAACTTCAATATCAATATCACCATAATCTGATGTCTGTGTCACTAAGTTTAACGAGGATCTTCCTAGAATGTAAATAAGATGACAGCCATAATGAGAATTGACCCCTAAAACCAAGATTTTTTAACTTCTCCTTAGCAACTCTTACGTTTATGGTATCAAATGCTTTTGAGAGATCAAAGAATATAAGAATTTGACTTCAAGTGTTTTGTTTCAGGAGGTAGATATAATTGGCATCGACTGTGAGTGGAAACCTAGTTTTGGTGGTCAGCTAAACGAGTTGGCTTTGATGCAAATTGCTACCAGGAAAAATGTGTTCATATTAGATATTATCAATATTGGCAACAAATGTCCACATTTGTGGCAAGAACTTGGAAAGTTCATTTTTAACAATTGTGATATATTGAAAGTAGGTAAGCGGATCTTTAATTCTTTTAAGTTTAGTTTTTGAATATATTTATATACTCGATTATCCAGAACTACTTGGAAACTATCGAAGTTAGGAAAACGTAAAATTCGGATAATCAAATAACTATGTAATTTAATAAGTACTGCGTTGATTGAATAATGTACATACTTTATTATTCATACTATTAATATGTCCTTAGTAGTAAAAACTGGTTTGTGTAGTTCCCCTTTTTCTTTTCAAACCATATTATCTCTGTATTTTGGTAACCCAAACGTCAACTGACAATTCATAATTCATAAACTTCACCTAAAAATACAATATAGATATCTTAAGGATCTTAACTAGTAACTAGTAAATTGTATATATGCAGCAATCGTATATGATTAGTGAATGAATCCAGTGCCGTTTGTCCGTTATTCTTAATAGATTATGGAAAAACAATACACATTCGATTGTAGCAGTGCGGAGAAAAATTAATTAATAAATTAAGAAAAATTAATTAGTAACTCTAAATAAGTACACTTAATTAATATTTCATACAGCGATGACTAACGCCTTAACCAAAATAGACATAATAAAATACTACGCCCCAAATCGGGGTCGATTCCTATTTTACATGGAATTCACTATTCCATTTTACATGGATTCCATAACAAACATGTGTTTCTTTTTAATATTCAATATAATAAATATACGAAAATTATTATATACGAAATACGAATATCCGAAATTTATTGTTATGCAACAAAAACCTTCAGCAATATGTTTGATATAATTTAATTTTAAAATATCTATTCAAGAAAGTAAGTATTATCTAATGTGAAATTACATTAAGTTGAGTAATTGTAATTGAACATATTGGCATCTAAAATTTGAAATCTACGTAAACTACTAATATACATATCTATGAATATATATGAATAAAGTTACGATTCACAGTAATTATCTAGTTCAAATCTAATCTCGTTACATAAAGTTGTGTCATGGAGTGTCAAGAGGGGTGGTGTCATGGAAATCAATTCCCTGCATCTTGGCAGGGAATTTCCTGCAGGTTAATTTCTTTTTCCCTTTTCCGCGCATATCCGGATTTATCTTGATTGTCTCTTCGACAAATTGTTGTAATTTACTGCAAATAGATTCTTTGGGACTGAGAACGAGCGAATAAAGCCACTTTCCACTAACCACGGGAGAATTATCACTTTCAGCATGTTGTATTTCGATAGGATTTACAATTTATATTGGTTGTTTTACACATCTTTTTCAATCCTTATATCTTGTAATGATATCATCTGTTTACCGTCTAATATTCGTCGTTTTTCATATGGGTTTTTCCTCAATCCATAAATTTCCTAAATGCTAAATTTCCTCGACGATATATACGTTGATCATATACAGTGTAGGAAAAATTTTATGGTCGGTATGGACCTTACGTGAAATGGAGTGAGAAACAGCTGTTTAGAAAGAGAGAGGTATATTAGGTCCGCCCTTTATATCGCCAAACATGCATGCCTGGAAAGGGGAAGTTCAACGTTGCCAAACTTATTGGATTTATTTGACCTGTTGTTTTTTTTGCATTTGAACAATGTTCTAAGATAATCCAATTTGGGCGAAATTGATTTAAATGGCAGCTTACTGTTTTTTTTATTGGGAATATGCCACAAGTTTACTTTACAATAAGTGTAATATAACATTTTGATTTCCACTTCGGAAATCGTTTTATATAAATAAAATTTATTAATGTTTCGTATTTTAAGTACGATTTCCGAATTAAAAATCTAAACATCAAAATAAGCTTATTTTAAAGTCACATTGTGCCTTATTCCCAATATGAAATAATAAACTGCATACAATAACACCACATTAAAAAATATTCATACACAATAATTATTTGGCAACGTCGTCCGTCTGGTCAGAACACCGAGTAACGGGTAATAGAGGTGGGTCGTGGTAATTTTATCGTTAAGAGCGCAGGCATAAAATTTCGGATTAATATTATTTAAATGCATTCATTTTTTTCGAATCCTGATAAAACTAATAAATATTCTTGAAAAATTTAAACGCAGAATGAAACAATACATTATTACCGAGGGCCGAAAGTTCCTGAAAACTTCTATAATGTTTATTTTAATAAGTTATAAGGGTGAAAAAAAAAATTAGTGTGATTTTTAATTTCAAATATCTCATTCAAAAAACTTTTTGTTTATTCTAAGGGACTTTCGGCCCTCGGTAATAATGTAATCTTTTATTCTGCATTTAAATTTTTCAAAAATATTTGTTAGTTTTCTCAGGATTCCAAAAAAAATGAATGAAATTAAAAATTTAAATTTTTGTAAACAAGTAACTATGATTGTTTAAAAGTAGTTTCAAGTAAGAAAGTACCTACATAAACAAACATAATGGCTATTATCGTTTATGTGTATATTTATTAAAGTGAAAGAAACTAATGATATGTTTATTATAACTTGAAAAATAAACTAAACAATACAAATAGTAAATCGTACTTACATTTACATTACACGTTATTATTAAATCGCGAATAGTCTAAATTGACATTAAAAACATAAGTTTTTCTACTATACCTACTTCTTATTAACCGTCTTCTTTTTTTATTTCAAATTAAACCAGATTTTAAACATGTGTTCACATTTACAATACTGTATGAATATAGGGGTTAAGTTAGGATATACATGGCGATGGTTTTTCCACCGTTGTAATGGACTCTCGATACAGATGTACGTGTAGATGAGCCATCTCCAATTAATTGATCAAAAATACACCATGGATTTAAGTCATCTTTATTGGTTTCTTTTTCTTGTACTGGTTGATTTTCAATAGTACAATCTTCTTGTTCGTTAATTATAGAAGTAACCAGCTTCTTAACTTTTTCTTTTATTTTTTTATCTTCATTTTTATCAGAAAAACCCTGCACTTTAAATAGTGAATCCATAAATGTACATAATGACAATATGCCACTCTGTTCTATCCCTTTAAATATTTTTGCTAAACCCGATATTAGTAATTGTACTACGTCGGATACTATGGATGTAAGGTTACCGTTTAAAGCTGTATTATTTAGTCTAAGTCTGTATTATTTAATACCGATGTGGAACGGAAATACACGCCAGTACACCGAAAATATCAAAATACAGAGAGGAGTCCGCCAGGGTTGCGTGCTGTCCCCACTACTTTTTAATGTCTACAGTGAAGCGGTATTTTAAGAAGCGCTCTCAGACTCAATAGAAGGTATATCTATCAATAGAGAAGTTTTGAATAACTTACGTTTTGCAGACGATACAGTAATAATTACGGATAACAACAATGATTTACAGAACCTAATGCAACGCCTTAATGAACGCTGTCATGGGTACGGACTGAAGATAAATTTAAAGAAAACTAAATGCATGATCATGACTAAATCTGCACATGCAAATATCCAATTGACTATTGAAGATACTGCAATTGAGAGTGTTAATAACTATAAATACTTAGGAATGTAATGTAAGCGTAGCAAGTGAGTGAGAAGTTGGAATAAAGGGATAATGGAACAATAAGTAGCATAGAAAAGATAATAATTATTCGAGATAATTATCATATATTCCAAATTAAATAAGGGATAATTAATACAGTTAACTTATACATTTAAATTATACAAAGTATAACAATTGACCTAGTTATTGCATTGTTTGATAATTGTTTAAACGTATAAAAAGCACGAAACATCCGTGACCCAAATAGGCAGCAATAATACCAAAACTGCAACTCAGCGAACCTACGACCTTGGTACTAGAACCGGCGTTGAAAGTACGACCACAATAAAAGAAGAAGAAACGACGGATGCCGGGCAGTTAGTAATGGGTAGTCGGTAGTTAGTAGTGATAACGGGGGCACCGTGACTGCCCGTTCAGGCAGTATTGCCAGGCGCCGCGCCGGGTCGACGCGGTAGCGTCGGGTACAAGTAGTCAGTAGTAATGAGTAGTCAGTTAGTAATGAGTAGTCAGTGATAGCGGGGCAGCCGTGACTGCCCGAGGCAGTAATTGCCTCCGGGAGCGTCCAGTACGCGAGACAATCGGTGATTTTCCGGGGGCCGGGTATCTTCTGTCAGAATTCGCGTGTAGTCCGGTTATTGTGGCAGCTCGAAAGTTCGCAACCCTCAACTGACCGAGTTCCAGAAGACTGAACGTGTCGTGGTTGAAGCCCTAATATACACATAAGGTAACAGATTTTTTTATACTAACCCCTGTGATTATATATTGTACCACTGTCAAGCTCTTCACTCTCTCGCTCTCTTCTGCCTCTTACAGAACCCTTTACCTTTACTTTAGATTATTACACTGGTGACAGTCGGTCCCGGTTTGGGGGAATTTCGGTAAATAGGGATAATTAAGTCACTTCTTCAGTATCCTTGTAAACTTTTGCAAGTTTTGTAGCTATAAGAAGCCTTCATCGTTTCATTTCGCCAGTGACATTCCAATTTTTTTTCTTCTCTTTCCTAAGACGACAACAGATTAAAGAAACAGTGAGGTATCCAGTAAATATTGTGTGGAGTGCAGGACTCCCTTTTCTGGAAGAAAATCCTTTTTCTCTCTTTGTTATATAAACTTGTTAGTGGTTTTACACAAATTGTTCGTATATAGTAGATTTTTTTTTGTGTCTTGTATCACTGGAAAATAACCTCATATCAGTTCCTTCCTGAGACTTGGACTCCTAAATTGAGATAGGTGAATTGCTTTTATGATATATGTGAGGAGATGACAAGTACAAATTTTTTCAAAAATACATACTAACACATTATATGATGTTCTCAATATAATTGTTTTTTTTTAAATTCGTAAATTGCCATAATATTGCACTAAAAATATAAACTATACTGTCTAACAGAATATAAGATTTGAGTTTAATTATTGGAAGAAATAATTATTACATTGTTACTTAGTAGTTAAAAATACAGAGTTAAGTTAGTAGGTCAAGATCAAGTTCATTTGAGTGTACGAGTTTATTGCTTTC